GAATCATCATAATCAATAGTCATGAAGCACCTACTATGTGCAAGGCAGGTGCTAGAGAAACAGACACTGCCTCATTTCTATATGTGTGTACACATGCAAAAGTGTACTCTGTACACAATTTTCACAGGAATATGTACTGGTATACAGACACATGGGAGTTCTTGGCAGAGGTGATTGGGTGCCAAGAAAGAGGGGCAGCCTGGGTACATGTGGTCCAGGACAGATAATCACCAAAGCACAGGCAGTCAGGGAAGGTCTCAGGGAAGCAGGCCCTAAAGGATGAGGGAGATGTGGACAAACTGAGAGCAGCTGGGAAGAGACGCCAGGCCTGGGCTTGAGTCTTACTTAGCAAGGGTTCTGAGGATGAAGTAGACCCCAGGGGTTTAGAAGACAACATGTGAACTTGCCTAGTGAGGGCAGACCAACCAGGAAATAAAAGAAGGAAATAATGTGGAGTTGGTTTCGTGAGATGACTCCAGCGAATCCCCTGGAAACAGATGAAACTCAGATGTCTCTGAGGGAAATACGTACAATCAACAAACGTAAGACAGGATGGCCATTCTCACTGGTAACAGGGAAATGGGAAGGCAAGATGCCCTGGGCTGCCTGTTCTGATAGGGTCAGAAGGTTTTCTGACCCTTTGTTCCATTCGAAGTTTTAAGGAAGTCTGGTGGTGTGGGCAGAGGAATACTTGGATTTATGGGAAAAGACATAACAACATCAAGAAAGATGCAGCAGGCACAGCCCAAGAGGGCAGAGGAGATGCAGGATGGGCAGTTCCGAGAAGGGGACTGACTGAGCCCAGAAGGGTCCAAGGGAGAAAAGCAAAGAACAAGAATCACTGGGTTGGGCATTCAAAGGGAAGCAATTTGGCATTTAGTCACCACCTCTCTGATCAGTTGTATACGCCAGACACTGCAGCAGGTCCTTTGCATATATTAGTTCATTTGCTCTGCATTATTGTGCCTACTTGAAAGATGAAGAAACTGAGAGGCAGAGAAAGTATTTGGGAGCTCATCTGAGGCCCACAGAAACCAGCCTCAGGGCAGCTGATATCATCTGGAAGAGAAAAAGGAGCAGACAGCCGCCCACACCCATCCGGTAACCCCGTGAGTCCAGAAAAAGAGGCTGCTTCTGCTGTAACTGCCCCACACACCACCGTGAGGCTAAGCAACACGCCCAAGTGCCACAGCCGTGCACTCTGAGTAAATCCCCTCTCCAGTGATTTGGGAACAGTGGACAGAAAAAGGGCCCAGTGGCAGTGGCATCTGTGTGTGGTTGGCTGCTTTCTGTCACCTTAGGTCCCCAAAGCACACTAAGCATCTTCCATGACTGTGGGGAAAATATGGCCCAGCCCTGCCCTGGGTTGGCTGCAGCTCTAACAAGGCCCTGGAAATCCTGCAAGAAGTTCCACTTCATCAGCAGCCACTTGGGCCATTTAACGTCTTCCAGCTTCCACGTCTCGGCCAGCCTCGGTCTCTAGGCCTTTGCACAATGCAGACCCCCTTCAAGAAAATCAAACTCATCTCACCAGAGAGGGTCATCGAGAGTTCCTGGCATCTTGTGATGGTGTGGACTACGATGTCCCAGGGAGGGGCAGTCACACTGAAGGCACATCAGAGGAGGTGGCACCCCCAGGGCCCACTCGCTGGTGCCTGCCTCTGGCTCCCAGTGACTTAAGACCAGGTACCCTGCCAGGGCTAGTGACGAAATCACCCAGAACAGCCTCCCATTTACCACCAGTGCCTTCAAGTGCTGCCACCACCCAAGGACTTCAGTCCTGGGGAAAGAGCCAGCCCCACCCTCCTCCTCTCTACCCCAGTTCTTCTGCAGTGAGTCACCCATGCATCACAGACGGACACTCAGGCTGCACACTGGGTGGACACTCCAGTCCACCCAGTACAAGCATCATGGCACATAACCTATGCTGGCGGTTTCTACCCTGCGTTTCTGGAGTTCTCAGGCCAGAGGGGCCGGCGGGAGCACTGTCAAGGGAGACTGAGGGGACTCTGGCCTCCACCGTCAGCACTTTTGCCTCGATTATATGTAAGGGTTTAGGATAACATTTTGATCAAAAGAAAAAAGAGAGGTTCTTATTGCTTCAAAAAGTTTGAAAAGCACTTTTCAAGACAGGCTAATCGGTACACAACTTGGTTACCAACTCCCACCTGACGTAGAACGCGTGCGCCTGTTTCTTTGGAAATACGGGATTCTTCTGTAGTGGTGACATGCCCCCCAGGGTTTCACAGCATCTACTGCCCCACTGTGCGTGCCAGGACCCTTCAGAGACCTCTCCCCAGGCACGCAGCTGGGTCAGCTCCAACTCAGCTAATCCCCCACACCTTCCAGCCTGCATACACGGGCAGCCAGCACAGTCCTTGTCCCGTCACTCCCTCCAGTTTGGGTCCCTTCTACAGAAAGTGCTCCTTCTGAGTCCCCATGGGCTAAGCTGCCCATGTGCCCCGGGACATGGCCCAGGCCCATTTCTCTGACAAATCCATCAGCTCTAAAGGGAACAAGAAGGGGGTCAGTGAGGACAGAAGGGGCCAAACACATCCCCAGCCACACAGGGCCCCATGCAATCCTGGTCCCCAACAAGGGTCCAGGAACTTAGCCTGGCCACTCCCGCTCTCTCTTGGTTACAAGTTTTTACCCACAAATGTTTTCTTTGGAGAATATTCTAAGCTACAGAGAAGCTGAAAGGATAGTTCAACTATTTAACCAAAGTACCATTATTATGAGTAAGAAAAGTAATATTTATTCGATGACATCTAATATGTGGTTTATATTCAAAATTGTGCAATTATCCAAATGTGTTTTTGTAGATTTTTTTGATCCAGGACCTAATCAAGATTCACCTATTATATTTGATATAAGTCTCTTATCTCCAGCATTCTCATCTTTAAAAAAAAACATTGAATTTATTAAAACATCTTGGCCAACTGTTTTTGCAGATATTCCCGCACTTTAGATTTTTCTACTTGCTTATTACTAGATTCAGTTAGACAGTTTTCAGGTAATCCCACTTATGGGAAACTGTCCCCTTCTTAATCAGATCCCCTCGGCAGTCACATAGCATCGGGCCACCCCAGTACTGGTCGCTAAACTGGCTCACGTGATTCAACTATGAAACGCTCAGATTGTGCCACTGTGCTTTTAAGATCAGTAAGCAATCTGGGAGGTATTACTCTGACACCGATGAATATCCTGCTCCATAACACGCACTCCCAAATTAGTTTTTGCATCCACTGATGCCCCAACCCGAGGGTTACAACACAGATTTTCTACATCTACCAGCTGACGTCCTGTACAGAAGGGGCCTCTCCCTCTGCTCTGCCTCCCTCTCATTATCACTGTGCAGTCGTGAGGGCCGTTTTCATTGCTCGGTGTGTCATGACCCACTGCTGTCATTGTTCTACTAGCTGCCCAAATTGTTCCGTTCTTGCCAGTGAAAGCCCTTTCACACCGGCTTCGGGGTCTTGTTGATATGACCCCATTCGCCTGGGGGTGCTACCCTGCTTTCTAGCACGTGTCCCAGGCTCACCCCGCACTCTCCCTGCTCCCGCCTGGAACCAGCTGCGTGACTGGATCCTTTTAGTGAGACTCATCCTCTCCTTTTCAGCAGATAAGCATCTTTACATTCTCTCACCTTGCTCCAGTCATAACCTCATTTTCCTTCCTCCCTACCTCCTTCCCCAGCCATTCATCATTTGCATGAGCACAGATAGCTCTTTGTCCTTGGTAGCAAGTGGGGAAAAGAAGGGTAAAAGACAAGGGAAGGAGAGACCAAAACCTACAGTGAATTTGGGGACATTACCCGCCATTTATCTACCGAAGAAAAATTTCCTTTTTCATAAGTGACCACATGATTGGTTATTTCCATACCATAACTTGCATTTTGAGAAGGTATTGCCTTCTATATAAAATTTATATTATATCATATTTTACTATTTTATTTTATACTTACGTAAAATACATGCAGAAGAAAAACTGCCACCTACACCCTGGTATTCCTGCCCCCTTCTCTTACTTTATTTGTCTCCGCCGCACTTACTACCTTCTAAACTCTATAACCGTGTTTCATTTTTAAATTTCTGTTGTCCTCCCAACAGGACTTACATTAAGTTCTGTGAATGACCGGCATTTTGTTGTTGTTGCTTACTGCTTTGCTCATGACTATAGTCACAGTGTCGAGAACAGTGCCTGGCATAAAGGAGGCACCCCATAACTGTCTGTGAATGACAAAGTCACTTCCCTCAGACCACGGGCCGAGAGGTGAGCAGGACCTGCCACGGCCCCTGCAAGTCTCTGCTTCCACGCCACGCCCAGGCAGTCTGTCCTTCCCTCCCCGTGCACTCAGAGCCCTTCTCACACTTCTGGACCCCAACACTTGAAGCATCACGTCATCACTGTTTACTGTCACGTCTGCCTCACTCGAAATGTTGCAAGTTCCTCTAAGGCAAGGACAAGGTCAGACTTATCTTCACAGCCCAGCACTTAGCACAGCAGCTGGCACAAAAAGTCTGCTACCTCCTACCTGCAGCCAAGTGCCCTTGGCCTTGCCACAGCTCTGGAAACGCCAGCGCCTGCTGGGCATTTCCTCTGCAGGCAAACTGTCCACAGGGTGACCTGAGCCCCAGCTCCTGCTGCTGAGGAAGACCCAGCCCCACCGGCAGCTCACAATGGGTCCTTTGACTTGACTGGACTGGGCTCTTTCAGGAAAAACACGTTTGCTGCCACGGCTCCTGTCACTAAAGCCAACACAGAGCCAGTGTTCACTATGCAAAAAGAGCAGGGGCACAGGGTGGGCAGATCCACCGGTCGGGGCAGTCTGACTTCTGGGAAGACAGGAGATGGGGTGGCAAGGTCGAGAGGGCCTTCCGTCAACAGAGTCACTGACATTCGGGCTCTGTGAACAGACTGGGTGGAGGACAGGAGGGTTAACATAAAAGAGTCCAAAGAGTGGAACTTGTTAGGGCTTCGCCTCAGAAATGCCTTACTTGCTCTTTTCTTTCAATCTTCTTTTCACTTTCCTCAGAACCTGAACTCTCGGGAGGTACAGTCAGCCGCAGTCTGCAGACATTTGCCTACAAGAGACAGAAAGGAGAGGCTGGTTAGGAACTCACGTCTGGGGTAGAAAGAGCTGGGTGATCCTGTGCGTCTCAGAGCCAGTTTCCCTGCTTAGCAACGGGGATATCGCACAGGGCACGTTGAGGGTAAGCCAGGCTGGCCTGGGCCCTCCCCCACACTCAACATACTGCTGCCCAAGACAAGGAAAGTGCGGAGTGATTTCATACTGTTATGAACACTTTTTAAATGGCTCGGGTTCCAGAACAGTGTATATGTAATGACCTTACTTCCCATGCAAAGTCCATAATACAGCTGGAGAGAGAGAGGCCCGAATACACACAGTGGTGATTAGGGTGCAAGGGTGCTTTCTACTGACTCCATGTTCAATTTTACAATAAACATGTGCATGTTCAGTCACAAAGTGTTTAAGACTACACAACTATGTTCATAGCAGCATTAGTCACAACAGCCAAAAGGTGGAAACAGTGCAACTGTCCGTCGGTGGGTGAGGGAGAAATACAATGTGTCAGGTACTGGGGCGCCCAAAAGTTTGGTTCGTTTTTTCCATAAGTTGGCTCTAGTAGCACTTTGTCTTTAACTTCATTTGAAACAATTTGGTTAGATTGTATTGTGACAGCTGTCTTATCAGTGTACATTTAAAATAAAAAAACATCAAAATTGGTGAATTTGTGTGTAGCCATTTTAATGCTGAAGATGGAAGAAAAACGCAACATTTTTGGCATATTATGCTATATTATTTCAAGAAAGGTAAAAATGCAGCTGAAATACAAAAACACAAGATTTGTACAGTGTATGGAGAAGATGCTGTGACTTATTGAATGTGTCAAAAGTGGTTTGTGAAGTTTTGTGCTGGAGATTTCTCACTGGACAATGCTCCCATGGTTGGCTAGAAGTTCATGGCAATTAAACTGAGACATTAATTGAGAACAATCAACATTATACCACACAGGAGATAGCCACCATACTCAAAATACCCAAAGCAATAAAGTTATTGGTCAAAATGAAAACTGTATCCGTTATTTTATGGAAAAACCAAAGGGATCGTTTGTCCAACCCAATATTTAGAGTGGAATATTATACAACCTTCAACAGAAAGAAAATTCTGGCACATGCTACAACATGGAGGAACTTTGTGGACATTATGCTAAGTGTACTAAGCCAATACTACAAATTCACAGAAAGGGAGTAGAATAATGATCGCCAGGAGCTGAAGAAAGAGGATTAAATAGTTATTATGTAATGAAGTTTCACTTTGAGGAGATGAAAAATTCTAGAGACAGATGGTGGTGATGTTTGTACAACAATGAGAATATACTTAATGCCGCATGATATCTATTTCACCCTAATGTCACAGCCTGGTCCTGCTGTGACATTTTCCAGGGAAAAGTGATCCTGCATTTAAAAAAAAAGAAGAGGGCTCCATCAGGACCCAGAGTAGCCAGCTCGTTGCCACACGGGCTTGACTCACAGGAGTGCTGCCTGCCCCACTATGAATGGATCTGTGTCTCTATAAAATTCATAGGGGAGAGTCCTAACCCCCAGGTTCTCCAGAACGTGCCCTTATGTGGAAACAAGGTCTTTAGACATGTATTAAGTTAAAATGAGGCCATTAGGATAGGCCCTAATCCAAAATGACTGACACCCTTATAAAAAGGGGGAATTTGGAGACAGACACACATACTGGGAGAATGCCACGTAAACGTAACCCAGACAGAAGCCTGGAACAGACCCTTCCCTCACAGCCCTGAGAAGGAACCAACCCTCCTGACACACTGATTTTGGACTTCTAGCTCCAGAAGTGTGAGGTGATACTGTCTGTTGTTTCAGTCACCTGGTTTGGGGTACTTTTTATAGCAGGCCCAGCAAACTAATATACCCCCAACCTAGCTTGCAAGGTCTGCACTGATCCACAGGGTGGTCTCTGAGCAAAACAGCCCTGCAGACAAGAAGCCCTGGGTAGGATGGGATTGTAAAAGACCCTTTAAGTCCAACCTGCCAGGCTATGGGGGTAATGAGTGAAGAAAACAAGATGAAGTCAGTAGAGCTAAGCCGACTTAAAACGGAGTCTGTATAGTCAAGCTGACAAAACTGGTTCACACCAAATGGATAAAAGCATGAGGATTTTGCTTTTTGGCATGAGGCTAGTTAAAATCAAATCAATAGATTTTGATTTGATTTTAACTAGCCTGAGGCCTTAAACTTTTGAACTTTCCAGTTGTGCACTGACTCCTGGAGATAGCTACAGATGTAGACACAGACACAGACATATAACCTATAGATAACCCTCCGGGTACCTGCCTGGAGAACATAAGAAAGAGCATTCACATGTCCAGACCACCTGCCTTCCGTTATCCAGACTACCACACATCTGGAAGATTACCATCTCAGACCAATCCAGAGGCTAAGGATGGAGGGCTGATTCTTCTCAAGAATGTGCTTTTTACCATAAAAACTTTTAACTTTTCTTTCTTCTTCAAAACACTCTGGAACATCGCCTAAGTGTTGTCTCCAGTTTGCAAACCCTAAGACCCTTGAATAAAACTTTGCCATTTTCAATTGTAGCAAAGCCCCATGATTCACTTACATTTGGTCAGCACTGTGAAGGAACCCGCACACCTAACAACATAACTGGCAGATGGGTGCCCAGTGGGGAAGAACATTTTCCATGCACAGGCATTCAGGACAGGTGTTAGCACTTCCACATACACCATCACGTCCCCCCAAAGCCTCCCATTCTGCTGCATCTCACCTCTAACTTTCTGATAATGAGCTTACACACTCCCCCAGAATTCTTACCTAATACACCTAGCATTGCTCTCTGGGACTGGAGCAGAATTCCCTTTCTCCAGACAGCCCTCTGTAAGTGTCCTTTATTACTATGAGAATACAGGAAGAAGAACAATTATTTTAACTGGAGGTGGGAGTATATGGGAAGGCTCCTGGTGAAAACGTTTGAGCTGGGTATAGAAGTACAGAAGAACAAAGATGGAGGCATAGGTGGAAACACTGTGCCTTCTCACGCAACTAAGTTTTAAAACAACAAAGTTTTAGCAACAAAAACGCAGCCAAACCACAGAAAATTGAACTATACGGAAGTCTGACAACAACGAACCATTCAGCCAAACCGGTAAGAGGGGCAGAGCCAGCAGCAGAGCGGGGTCTGGTAGGAAAGATCCACGGGACTGACCGGGGCGCATGACCCAGGCATGCAGGTAGCTGTGGGTGGATCCCAGGTGTGGAGTAGCAGTGTGTGGACCCACTGAGGGCGCAAGGTGACGGACCCACTGAGGACTGGCTGCAGTCACACATTCACGTGCAGATAAACCGGCGAAGGAACAAGCAGTGAGACGGACTGCGAAGGCCCCAGCAGCAGGAAGCAGCAGAGGGGACTGCCATTGTCCCTCTGACCCTGCATCCACATACAGTGTCACAAACCAGTGACCCTGGTGGCCCTACCCTGGTGAACAACTAAGGCTCCGCTCCTCATAAGTAACAGGCGCGAACAGAGCAAAACATTATGGCTCAAGAAGAACCCAAAGCCCAAAACTCTAAGCAACGAAGAAGTAGCCAAACTTTCAGATGCACAGTTCAAAACACCAGTGATCAGGATGCTCACAGAACTGGTTGATTTTAGTCACAAATTAGAGGAACATATGAAGGCTAAACTAATTGAAATGAATGGAAATGCACAGGAAACCAATAGTAATGGAAAGAAAACTGGGACTCAAATCAAGGGAGTGGACCAGAAGGAAGAAAAAAATGACCAAACAGAAAAGGATGAAGAAACAAGAATTCAAAAAAAAAATGAGGAGAGGCTTAGGAACCTTCAGGACATCTTTAAACGTTGCAACATCCAAATTATAGGGGTACCAGAAGAGGAAGAGGAACAGCAATGAGTGGAAACCTTATTTGAACAAATAATAAAGGAGAACTTCTCCAATCTGGCAAAGGAAAAAGACTTCCAGGAAATCCAGGAAGCTCAGAGAGTCCCAAAGAAGTTGGACCCAAGAAGGAACACACCAAGGCGCATCATCATTACATTAGCCAAGAGTAAAATGAAGGAGAGAATCCTAGAAGCAGCAAGAGCTAAGGGGACAGTCACCTACAAAGGAGTTCCCATCAGACTGTCAGTGGATTTCTCAAAAGACACCTTACAGGCAAGAAGGGGCTGGAAAGTATTCCAAGTCATGAAAACCAAAGACCTACAACCAAGACTGCTCTATCCAGCAAAGCTTTCATTTAGAATGGAAGGGCAGATAAAGTGCTTCTCAGATAAGGTCAAATTCAAGGAGTTCATCATCACCAAGCCCTTATTATATGAAATGTTAAAGGGACTTACCTAAGAAAAAGAAGATAAAAAAGATGAACAGTGAAAGGACAACAAACTCACAGTTATTAAGAACCACACCTAAAACAAAAGCAAACTAAGAGGACAGCTAGATCAGGAGCAGAACCATAGAAATGAAGATCACATGGAGGGGTAGCATCAGGGGAGTGGGAGGAGGAGAAGGGGGGAGAAGGTACAGAAAATAAGTAGCATAGACGGTAGGTAGAAAATAGACAGGGGGAGGGCAAGAATAGCATGGGAAATATAGAATCTAAAGAACTTGAGACACGTGGTCATAAACTAAAGGGGGGAGAATGGTGGGGGAGGGGGGTGTGCAGGGTGGAGGAGAATGAAGGGGGGAAATAGAACAACTGCAATGGCATAATCAATAAAATATATTTTTTAAAAAAAAGAAGTACAGAAGAACTTTTCAGGTCAGTGAGGTTTGGAGAATTCATTGTCAAAATAACAGACAACTACCCAGCAAGGTGTTTGTTCCAGGATGGCCAAAGGCACAGAAGCTGGCCTGATCCAAGCATGGTAAGCAGGACGGCATCCTAAGCTCCACTGAGAGAGAAAATGGACAGATAGGCAGAGGCCGACCTCTAACAATCTACAAATGCCTGTTGCAGTTGCAAGGCCTCTAGTGGAAGACTGAGAAGCCATCTT